TAGGCATGGAAATATTTCATATCGTTTTGAGATATGAAGTTAATGTGTTCGATGCAAAAAAAAAATACCTGTTTCCTGTTCGTTTTCAACCTTGGTTAGTCTTCGCAGTGAATACGGTCTTTTCCTCCCTATGAAATGTTCAATGTGTTACCGCTGTGTGTAGATCCTCCAATATTGATGAACAAGGAGTAAAATGCACTTACGTTGATGACAGCCGTCTTATCATAGTCATCAGCAACACAACACAAGTACTGTTCTGAAATGAAGAGACCGTATTTCCGGTTTCACTTAAATCATATAGAAGATAGAAGATTCGACACCAGTGCAATAATCATGCAAAGATGTTAACCTCGTTTTGAATCATATAGATAATCTTACTCTATTGCTTTAAATATCTATCATTAGGCATCTAGTTAAGTCAATGACATCAACTTTAAATGTCTTGATATGCTAATTAGCTTGATTAATGAATAATACCTGTACGTCACTAATCAACATCCTTCACGGGTCAAACATCTAGAGCGTTGTTTGATGTCATGTTGATCAGAATTATTGTTACCGATATCACCTTCATGTCTAGGAAAGTGATTTCCACCGCAAGTTTCTATGTCCGGGATGTAACTTTCACCATTAGCGTCTAGATAATTATTTTCTCGGTGTAATTTTATCACGCGTGTCTAGGTACGCAAGTCCGCAATGTCATTTTACTACAAGTGTCTAGGTACGTAAGTCAGTGATGTCATTTTACCACAAGTGTCTAGGTACGTAAGTCCGCGATGTCATTTTACTACAAGTGTCTAGGTACGTAAGTCAGCGATGTCATTTTACCACAAGTGTCTAGGTACGTAAGTCAGCGATGTCATTTTACCACAAGTGTCTAGGTACGTAAGTCAGCGATGTCATTTTACCACAAGTGTCTAGGTACGTAGGTCCGCGATGTCATTTTACCACAAGTGTCTAGGTAAGTAAGTTTTGGTACAGGATGTGTGGAGGGCGTTTTGGTACAGGATGTGTGGAGGGCGTTTTGGTACAGGATGTATGGAGGGCGTTTTGGTACAGAATGTATGGAGGGCGTTTTGGTACAGGATGTGAGGAAGGCATTTTGGTACAGAATGTGTGGAAGGCATTTTGGTATGGGATGTTTGGAAGGCATTTTGGAATATTATGTATGGAGGGCGTTTTGGTACAGGATGTGTGGAGAGCGTTTTGGTGCAGGATGTGTGGAAGGCATTTTGGTGAGGGATGTGTTGAAGGCATTTTGGTACGGGATGTGTGAAAAGCATTTTGGTACGGGATGTGTTGAAGGCATTTTGGTGAGGGATGTGTGGAAGGCATTTTGGTGAGGAATGAGTAGAAAGCATTTTGGTGAGGGATCCATTGAAGGAATTTTGGTGAGGGATGTGTGGAAGGCATTTTGGTACAAGAAGTGTGGACGGCGTTTTAGTGTAGGATTTGACGATGACGTGTTGGTCCCGGATGTGTGTAGGTCGTTTTGGTGTGGGATGTGTGGATGGCGTTTAATTGCGTTTTAACATTCAAGAGTGTTTAATCTTTTATCATTATAACCTTGTCGTAACGTATATTTTTATTACAACAATGATATCCTGGTTTCCCAATCGAAGTTAATAAAAGTTATGTCATTTAAAAAACAAAATGTTTTATGCACATCACGAAGTGTTGATCTAAGTATAATGACGTGTACGAGATATTGCGTCTTTTACATGTAAAAATCCTTGTTATTCATGTATTGTTTTACGACTCTGTGGACAGTATCCGGTTAAGCAAATATATGACATCGAAAAAGCTGTTTTATAATGATGCTGTCAACACGTATAGTTCAAACGGTTATTGCGGCATTGTGACAAAACAAAACAACAGAAGCGAAAAATTAAAACGAATTGATACTACGCAATAACATAATGAAGTAAAGAAAAAATTAAAAACCACCATCATTGTGAGAAAAGCTTAGACCGAGTACGAAAAAGAACTTCAGAAAATGTCAAAAGAGACCCAAGATATTTCTGGAGGTATGCAAAAATAAGAACAAAAACAAACTGTGGGTACTGGCGCTAAACTACTTCTTTACAAGTGTGTTTACAAAAGAGGGTACAAACCATATCCCAGAGACAACAACCAGACAAGAAACGGAAGTACTACCAACAATAAACCATATTCCAGAGACAACAGCCAGACAGGAAACGGAAGTGCTACCAACAAAAAACCATATCCCAATGACAGCAACCAGACAGGAAACGGAAGCACAACCAATAATTAACCATATCCCAGAGACAACAATCAGACAGGAAACGGAAGTACTGCAAAAATAAACCATATCCTAGTGATAACAACCAGATTAGAAACTAAAACATATCCCAGTGACAGCAACCAGACAGGAAACGGAAGTACAAAAAACAATAAACCAACAAAAAGTAAAGTCCTTGACAACATCTTTCAAAAAATTCTTAAAGATATGGTTATCGGATCACAAAACCACTAACCGAAATATCCAAAAAAAAATTGGTCAGCACAAAGTTCCTGATGTTTGGAAAACAGAAAATGCCACCGCTGTACACATACAAGGAACAAAAACATCCAAAGTTATCACCCAATAAACACAATTGTTTGCAAAGCCTTGGCATTTTCAGGAATCACGTGGACTTACAGGGTCAGAAAAGGTCCGTCATGTGTGACGTAATGAAAAAACTGGAATGAGGCATTGAACTCGAAAATTTTGTTAATGTCTTGTAAAAAATGGGCACAACCTCACGAAAGGTTATTAGCACAATAATCAAACATTAGGGAAGTACCAGAATTATTGACGATCAAGGACTTCGTACATGGCTGCGGAGAGTGGTGTTGAATTGTGTATTGTTTGGGCGATATTGTGACGTACATTTTGTAGTTCTATTAGTCTAATTAATTTGATTAGTGACTCGCTGAAGTATACAGATGTACTTTGTGCTAAACTTAGCTGATATATCTGAGAAATTTGCTTATGGGGTTAGTGCATCTCCACATCAAGATCTTAGCTTTTCTTGTGATCAGTTTGGATTTTCCTCAGTTACCTCCTTTGATATTGTCACTGACGAGTCCTAGAAGGACGAAACAGTTGTATGATGTAGCATCACTGACGAGTCCTAGAAGGACAAAACAGCTGTATGGTGTAGCATCACTGACGAGTCCTAGAAGGACGAAACAGCTGTATGATGTAGCATTACTGACGAGTTCTAGAAGGACGAAACAGCTGTATGATGTAGCATCACTAACGAGTCCTACCGAGGGACGAAACAGTCGTATGATGCAGTTTAATTCATTGTTTGGCTCTACTGTATTTAAAGTTGAATTAAAAGGTGATATTCACTTGTGTGTCTTTTGTAAATCTTTGCCTGTCGTCGTGACATTTAGATTAAACGACTGTAGCTAAGTTTGACTGCCGTCACACATCTTTGTGATGTCATAGCAAAGACTGTTGTCAAGCTAATCGATTATAAGAAGTTTTTGATAAACTTTGAAACCATTAGATATGGAAATAGACATATTATTGAGGAAGTGAATGTGAACTATTCTGAAACTTCAGACCTTTTACATGGTTTGAAAAAAATTCAGTTATACAAGCAACCTTAATCCCCCTCCCTCCTCCCAATCTTGAATACCGCAATGCTGCTAAAATATGATTGCACACATTCATATTCCGTATTTTGTTCTATTGCGCTAATTGCCGAAACTGAGATAGCGCAAAAATTTTATTGCACCAAATAAATAAGGTTTACCCTAGCATAATTTAGGCCATGTTAATCACCACAAGGCCACAAAATTGCGCCCCTCTTTCTAAAACGTGACATATACCATGGTTTCTACACGTCATATGGTGAAATCAACATTGCTTTCATTCTTGTTGGGATAGCCTGTAGTGATGGTAAGCCTCAGAAAAGTCTGGTGTACGTGTTAATGCTTTCAGTGAACAGATTATACGGAGGTTGGTGGTAAGATACCTTGAGTTATGTACAGATTTATAATAATGAAGAGGTCAAAGGTTACTTAACTTCAACTTCATCATAACCTGTTTTAGGGATACACCAAACGACAATATTCACGATTCAGAATTTGTAAGTATGAATTTGTTATCTCGATCCATCTCGTCGTGAACAGATTGGATGACCGGATGGCGCAGTGGTAACAAACTCGTCTTTCATCTAGGTGCCCGGGTTTCGATTTCCCGGAAGCGGTGGAAAGGCATAAGATCACCTACACCCGGGTACTCCGGTTTCCACCCACAATAAGACCCCTCAAGCGCTTCCATCCGGGCCAGCAAAAGCGATTAATATAAACTTGATATAAAATATTTCTCTCAATCTCTGATCACACTAAACTGTATTACAAAACAAGCATACACTCCTTTTTGTTAATCCCTTTTATATATGTATTTTTTTTTTTCATATATATTAACTTTACTATTTTTTATTGTTCACGTTCCTTTTGCACGCGCTTTTTACATATATTTTATATGAACATTTATGTATATTATATTTTTAATATTTCATCATATAATCAATTACCTATTTCTATGTGAAGATTCAGGGAGGACCTTAAACTGAGTATCGATGTGTAAAAATGTCTAGAATTTAAAATCAGTCAGAATTTGTGAAATAAAAGTATATTAGAGGGTCAGGTAAGCTCATTCACACTGGCGCTGAACCCTAAAGATCAATATCAAAATACAATGGTCAAACGATAAAGACCAATGGATTTGTAAATGTTGGTGAAAGCTTAGAAATACATTTCACACCAAATCTGCATTTTTGGATGAGAGATTCGTTTATTTAATGAAAGTTATTAACAATAAGGGGATCAAAGATAAGAGATATCTGTTCGTTAATAGCCGTGGCGGATTTATAGGGATATCCCAATACTCTGTGTGAAGGGGCTTAACGTGATAACTTGTCATAAATCCTCGATAAATTAAACAAAATCGAATTTGGAATCGTAAACCTGGCAGAGCAATGGAGGAGAACACACAGTCAGAAACCGGGTGCGAATCCGGAAAAGACGTGAAAAAGGAAGAAAAAAATGTCACTAAGCATGAAAGTGGAGACGAATCAAGAAAAGACATTAGAAAGAAAGAAAATAATGTCATTCATGTACTCTCAGATACTGAAGGCGAATCAGGAAAAGGTGTGAAAAAAGAGGGAAACATCATTGGTGACTTTAAAACGAAGTTATGCCGAGCATTTCCAAAGCTACATCTGGGCTTGAAATTTGTAAATTGTGGACTTTTGATCATTGCGTTCGCTGTTCACGTGCATAACATGTTTTCAGCGACATGGGCTATCGACCACGCACAGGACACTGCGACTAGTTATGAGGGAGATATCCAGCACCAGCTATTTGGTTTCATTCAGGGAGGTGACAAAGAGGTGTTCACTCCTCACAAGGAAGGTTGTAAGTTGCCTTTTTCTTTATATTGACTTATTTTTTGAAATTTATGAAAATGCAAATATGTGAACAGAATCCAATATTTGTCAAAATGAAAGATTTACACACAGACTCCAAGAAAAGTACTATGATAATAAAACCAGGTGTTCAAAAAGAGTAAGCGTCTCTCGCATCATTAAGACATTCGATCGATCTGTAAATCCAATTAAATATCGTCATGTTCCCAAATAAGAACAATGTATACAATAACGGAACCATCAGGTATACTAACGAACATCCAACACGTCCCTATAGCACAAATAAAAAGAAATTTTTCCAAATAGAAAGTTATGATGACTGTAAAACTTTCCTATACTCTTCATTAAGCTGCATCTCTCGATATCCTCGGCTTTGTGTTTGTCCGTCAATTGTCGACATCTTGGACGAAAATCTTCATATGGCGAACGGGTCCCTGAATATCAACTGCGACATGTAAACACCATAGGTTCGGGATTAAAGGGATTGTTGCTGTTCAGAAATTGAGAACTACGTTCAACACACAACTAGGGAAACCTGTCCATGTTGCTTTCGTTGTAGGAACAGGCCGAGGTACATCATGTAAGAGACTGATGTAGAAGAGTCTGTCGTTTTCTTCATTTCCATTTGCGGGTCTATACGATGGACAGTTTCCTTAGAAAATAATCAATATATTTGAACGTGAAACTGAAGGACTTTGCAACTGTTTTGATAAGCTCTTCAGTGAATTTAACATAATATGAAAAAAACCAGAGAAGGTCAGGGTTTGTTACTTTAAGTATGCTGTTAGTCTACTGGAAGAAACCCACAAGCAAATTCAACAAAGATGTTGTCAACCAAGAACTCGATTACTTTTATGATTTCGTCCTCCGTATATTTCTCTGATTTTGATATGTTTTCACGAAACAAGCTTCAGTATATTTCACTACAATATATTTGTATAGCCATTCAATTATCTTTGAAAACAAAACTCACATGACAAGAGAACGAAGACATTCCTTCAGTGTAAAATGGAATACATCGATACGAAGTGTAAAATTTATCTAAACATTGAATTGATCAAAAGACTCAAAAATTATTAATATCTTTGAGTTCAAATGTTATATGAATTACAGTAAAACGATATAATTAGTTGATTTACAATACACAACTGTTTTATCATTGTAGGACAGCCATTGATGTTAAATGCTCGGGTAAAATCTAAAAAGCTAGTTTTATGGAACAACTATGAAACAAGTTACTTACTATTGTTTTTATTTTCTATCATTTCACAATATATAAATCTCATTAACATAAACCAAATTTTTTATTGCATTTTTAACAAGTGAAATGTGGATATTAATAACGTTTTTGCCAGTGAAATGTAGGAATTTCTAACGTTTTTGACAATGAAATGCATGATTTTCTAACGTGTTTGCCAGTGAAAAATATAGAAATTTCTAACGTTTTTGCCAGTGAAATATAGAAATTTCTAACGTTTTCAACAGTGAAATGTAGAAATTTCTAACGTTTTTGCCACTGAAATGTAGGAATTTCTAACGCTTTTGACAATGAAATGTAGGAATTTCTAATATTTTTGTCAGTGAAATGTAGGAATTTATCAATTCGATAAAAACTTAAAGCATCACTGCATTGGTGATATAAGAAATCTTACATGTCCAGTAGTGATGATATACGTATCTAACTGTCGTATTTTTAACCAATCAGAGATGTGCTTTTTTGAAGAACTGTATTGTAATTCGTCGATGTTCCTGTTCGGACGCAAATGAAGCGAATATTTAATAAGTTGGTGTTCCATCAAACCTTTCACATGTACATTTCGAATTTTCTCATATTTGGTGTATAACAACAGTTTTATAATCAATTTTTATCAGATTACAACATAATTGGTAGGAAACTCCGTCAAGTAGGCTAAATGGTGTCGAGAACACGGTTTGGTTATACAACAAGATTTAAACTTGTTGTTTGTTTGTTTGTTTGTTTGTTTTCATTAAAGATATGATAAAAAGACATATCTGATCCCATTAAATGATCCCATTTAAACACCATATATAATTCACATTTAATACAGGATAACTCTTAAACGGGAAATCTGTTTAATACCCTCTATGTTATTAGTAACTTGAGTGCTCAAACTCACTCAATTAATCTTTACATATAAGTTTATTGATAGTCAGAATTGGAAGAAACCTGATAAAGCTAGATACGGTGTTTCACCCACCAGCAAGTAAGCAAACAGACATAAGCTGATAAAGTTATATGTTAGTTTTATAGATAGGCAGGATTTTAGGAAATATCTGATAAATCTACATGTATATAAATATGTATGTTACAAATGTATTTTTATAGAAAGGAAGAATAGGAAAAATATCTGATAAAGCTATATTTAATATTTTGTAGACGGGCAGGATTGGGAAAAATCTCTGATAATTATATATATATATATTATAGACTGGCAAGATTGGCAGAAACTTTTGATAAAGCTTTATAAATTTGTTGTTATTTTTATAGACCGCAAGAATCGGGAAAATATCTGATAAAGCTATTACTGTATTTAAATGACTGTCAGGATTGAAAGAAACTTTTGATAAAGCTATATACATTTGTATGTTATTTTTATAGATTGGCAGGATTGGAAGAAACCGCTGATAAAGCTGGAGATTGTTGCCCTCAGTCTTGGCTTCGCTGCAGTTGTGATCCAGGGAGTCATTATCTTTCTCCATTTTTTACATCCGCGGAAGGCCGAGGCGATTGCTCTGCTGACGTCAGTCATTCTGTTGTCGTGTGGTGGCGGTAAGACTTAATTAAGGCTGTATCAATTCATTTGAAAAGTGGCACGGGACTTGATGTTCTTTTAAAATTGTTCAATTTCGAAAATAACAAAACCGATCGGATCATGTGGTCTGTGCACCTCCCTATCTTATTTGTGGCATCTATTTCGAAAAATTCTTATTTTGCTCTGTCGCCTCAGTGTATCAAAATTTAGGTCCTAACATCAATGACGAGCCCTGGAAAGACGAAACATCTGTATGGTGCAGTGGTGTCACTGCTTGCCACGTTTTAATTCATTCGGATAGTGACATGGGTTAGAATATACACATTAACATGACTCCGCTCTAAAATTATGTAATGTATAAAAATTACGAAATATATTTTATTTTCGGTCTGCTGCATCTCCCCGTCTAGATTTTTTCATTTGATCGCTTTGGGTTTTCCTCAGTCGCCTCCTAGACTTCAAAATTTAGGCCCTTAGCATCACTGATGAGTCCTAGAAGGACGAAACAGGTTATAATTCAGTTTAATGCTCTAAATTATGAAAACGTTCTATTCACTTGTGTAGCTTTTGTACATTCTTTGATCATTTATGTGACTCTTCTTTGTATCTTCATCTAACATTGTGTTAGCAGGTGCTATCTCTCAGTATTTCGTTTGTTACAATCCTGAAAACATTTCACATAATTAAATTTGAAAACTGTTATAACATATGTTCTCACAGGCGGCCTGCTGATTAAAACAAGCATGGATTACACCAACAACCGCCCAGCCTATGGGTTTCGTGATACGACCATGCCCCCTACCTTCAAGACAGACGTTTCAGAAGACATAGGTAGAACAGAGGCGATTGTGTGTGGAGCTATGTATATTATTGCCGGCGTCATAGACGTTTTACTGATGCTTATCACTTCCTCCAAAACGTCAATTAAACCGGAAGTGAATGCTAATTAAACCGGAAGTGAATAACAATTAAACCGGAAGTGAATGTCAATTAAACCGGAAGTGAAAGAATTATCTTCATAGGACAATAAGATATATGGAACAACAGACTAAGGAAAAAAGGCAGAGATTTTTATCAATAGACAGATAAGACACTGTTCCTTAGAATATTTTTCTTCCAAATTTCTTAGGTCTGTTATTTGTAGAGTTCTTTGTAAATCATCTTCAAAATAATACTTGTATCATTTGTTGATTTTATGATAGTAATCTGTAAAATTCTTTTATTTACCTCATTTTTAGATTTTATGTCAGATTCTTTCAAAATTCTTTTATAGAAAATAGAATTCTGAGTTAATAAATGTTTTCTGTAATGGTAGAATATTAAGTCATTAATTGAAGACGATAATCTCCGCTTCAAACATTGTTTTATAACACCACTATCTACTCTATATTGCGACTGAAGAGATTTGGAATCTAATGAGTTTCTCCTTTTTTCAATTCCGGACTCCGTATTTATTTCAAACTTAAGTTTAATGTATCTGTTTTTAAAATAACTTTTAGTTCCTGTTAAATTCATGAAAATTGTATGTTTTTTCGCAATACTGACCATTTGTAGAGAATTCGATGTAGTAACATTGATAAATGAACGTCTAGATATTTTCTTGTTTAGTTATAATGTTGAATTTAGTGTATTTTCCTGTGTGACAAACAGAAATTTTAAATTAGTGGAACTTGGTGTATTGATTTAATTGGCTGTAGTATCACATGTATCTGTCCTCCGAACAAAATCGACAGTAAATACCAACATATTAACAGGATTATAATCGAAACACCAGGTGTTTCAGAAAAACGAGTGTTTTACTGATTTAATAAGGACATCCGCCATGTCAAACTTGTTCGATCCAAGCACAGGGGTAAGTAAAGCGAAGATCTCGAAAGGCCTCGTTCTCGACTAGAATTGGCGGAAATGATTTAGATTGATTAACACTTACATGGCGAGTGCCGTCGATGAAGCAGAAGATGGTTACCCTTCCTGTACATCTGATGACATTCTTCTTGTGCTATCTTAAGAATCTCCGTGTATTTTTTTTTTTTTTTTTTTTTTGGGGGGGGGGGGGGTTATCATATTTCGTCCTAGTTTTATTGAAACTGAGTTTGAATTAAGATTATGTTAACATGTTGGTATTTTCTTACTTTTTTTTAGTGAGAACGAAAGACTTCATATAAATATATACACAGTTACTTTACAATCGCACGAGAACATGAATTATATCATTTGAGATCATGATAATATCTGTTTAACTTCCAAATACAATGTGGTGTTCAACAAACCTGTGTATCTCGAATACTCGGTATTTAAAACAAAATGCGCTCTTTCGTTTGCCGTACTTGGCATTACAATTGTCGTCATGTGTTACTATACAATATGTCGCGTACTTCTTAAAGAGCTTAAGAGACAAAAATATGGTTCGATCAACAAACAGACTGGATGTTAATTTAATACAACACAATGTGATAATGAATGAGAAAAAAATATTTTTTCTATTTTGTTACGTAAGTAAATGAGTATTGATATGAATAAAGATTTCATTAAATATGCAGATTAAATTTCCGTTAGCCTGTACACTTAATAGATTACAATAAAAAATATATTAACAAGATATGTTTATGTAACATTGTGCCCCCAGTTGCGACTAAACTCTGAAATCACGTGCTAATCGCATGCACACTTTATGAAACACTTATGTTTTCATTATGGTAATAATTTGACAATTTTATTTCAATAGTTATCGTCAATGTTAAATTTTTTCAAATGTAACTCAAAAGTCACGGTCGCAAGGTCAAACATTTTGATACCATCGGAAGGGTCTTGTCACACATGCCAAATATGAAAGCCCTACCTCTCACGGTCCAATATTTATAGGCAAAGTTAAAGTTGAGAACAGACTTACAAACAAACAGACAGGACACAAACAATATGCCCCAGATTTTTTCAATCCGGGGCATAAAAATATGTAGTAAGCTCGATGAGAGAAAAAATGAGACATATTTAATACAAGCTATGACGTATATTTTGTAAAAAGAAAATTTTAAAAATAAGAACTGAATACAAAACGGCGACACTGGTATTTGTCACCGTGAATTATTGGCAATGTACGATGGACAGGACATTGGCACCACCAAAACGGCGGGAAAGATATACAACCTAAAAACACGATTGAAAAAACAACATGGTTTACTCGCACAAAAACTGTCATGAATCCAAGTCTTTAAAATATTAATGTTATCATCAAAAGTAAGTCTGGTACCTTCTGAAGAAAGATCGAAAACGAAAATACGAATATCTGTAAGTAATATTGATATTGCGGATGATCCAACCATTTTTTCTAAGGTTATTTTGATCCTCCGTTACCTTGATATCAGGTATCCTGTTTACATCTTAAACAGATCCATGAAATAATACTCCTTCGACTTATTTATATAAAATTCAAATGACATGGAATCCCATCAAATTCATCTGACATGGAATCCCATAAAATTCATCTGACATGGAATCCCATCAAATTCATCTGACATGGAATCCCATAAAATTCATATGACATGGAATCCCATAAAATTCACACGACATGGAATCCCATAAAATTCATCTGACATGGAATCCCATAACATTCATATGACATGGAATTCCATAAAATTCATCTGACGTGGAATCCCATAACATTCATATGACATGGAAGTCCATAAAATTCATATGACATGGAATTCCATAAAATTCATACGACAAGGAATCCAATCAAATTCATACGACAAGGAACCCCATAAAATTCATAAAGTCTTAATTTTACCATCTTGTACTTTTTATCCGTGTGAATCTTTCTTTTGTTCATATTTTGCCCTAGTTTTACTGAATTTGAGTTTGGATTATGACTATGTTCACATGTTGGTAAGTTCTTGTTGTTTTTATAATCAAAGATCTTCCCTGCAATGTGTCTAAATCTCTAGAAATGTGAATCCTGTAAGAGAATAATTTAATGACCTATTTGTTAAAGAATTGTCTGTTATTTGCTCTATAGACTGATATGAACAGAGACGGATTAAACGATCAAATATCGGGACACAAACACGTGATGAACAAACACAGAGGAGTGAGATATATATCATCCGTTATAGATTTACAGAAACTGAAGATTAAAAAACACGAAAAAAAACTTAGGGAACTACAAAACGACGGTATTATTTCAATAGAAAAAAGTCCATGGGCCTTAACAGTTACCAGAGGTCTTCAGGTCTTTGGACAGTTTTAGAACCTGGCCATCATCTCTGTATTGAGAAAGACAGGACTGGTATATGCGTCCTTACAAAGTTTTTATCATTTCTAGCTTTGAAGGCTTAATTTTCTATCAAACGGAACTGATACACTGTCCGTTGCTATGGTTTGGGTATATTTAGCCCCTGTGACCTTGAATAACCCCGAGTCCTTTTGTTTTTGCGAAGAAGTCGTTTAGTTTTAAATAAATTTGATCCATGTTATCTTGAAAATAGGCCAAGGTCATTCATTTGAATAAACTCAGTAGCCTTTCATCCCAGCATGCGACTGGCCCAATATTATGACCCTTGACTATTTCTCGATTGCGAAGAAATCGTTTAAAGATTTTAACACATTTCACTACTCTGACCTTGAAAGTAGGTCAAGGTTATTCATTTGCACACACTTTTGAATCCCAGCATCCTACTGGTCTAATGTCATCACCCTAGACCTTTTGGTTTGAGAAGAAGTCGAAAATGTAACTTGTTTACGACGCACGACTACGATAGCAAAAGATCACTTGAAACTTGGTCTTAAGTGACCTAAAAATTATATATTTTTTGTTTTTAAAAAAAAAAGAAACATCGACATACAGTACGTATGTAAATATAGTAATCAGTTAGAAAATATATTTCCTCTTGCAACTTCATAATGTTACCTTTCAAGTAGGCCTGTTAAATAAACCCATTTCATCTGGTATTATTCATGGATAGTGAGGTCTTGTGTGATAATAAAAATATTTATATAAAAAAAGCTAACTAATAAAATATTGATGTGGGGATTACCTAACATCCAGCTCGTTTCCTGTTAGAAAACTAAGGAACATTGACGTTTTATTTTCCTGCTCCCTGTACGTAGGGAACACTCGACTATCAATAACATGCTTTCAGTAATACTGAATAACGTTATCTACTAACCACAAAACATCGACTCTGACATCCCTGTGTAATCATATGTAAGGGATTCCTCTTATCAAAACAACATAAATGTTTGCTACATATCAATGTGTGGTTAAGTGTGTGCCTTCGTTAGAACAACAAAAGAAGCTTACATTTCGGGAACACTTGGTCTTATCCTCATTGTACTGTGATTGAAACATATTTTATTGCATTTCATTTACAAATGGATTGGGTACGAGTTATATATTTTGTTCTAAACCTCTCTCCTACAATAAAACCCACACATTTACAGGCATTTACACACACACACACACATATATATATATTTATATACATACATACATACCCACATACGTGACAGACAGACAGAGTCTGTTTCGATTTCATGGAGTATCATATCTAAAATTGCTGCGTAATTTGAATAAAATTTCGACGTTGGCAGAAGAAATTAATACTAATAATTTTCTAAACTTTCTACTTGTACAAAAGTGTTAATCACATCACACCTTTTAGTTATTTCTTTGTATATTTTAATTTTGTTCATAGTTTGTCTGAGTATATTGATTTTAATTATGGATTGTGATAATGTTAACGTGTTGGTATTTTCTTGTTATTAATGATCGGGAATTCATTTATCGATAGTTGTACATATTGAGGATAGCCAGTGTTGTAACCTAATAACCCCGGTGTTTGTGGTGTGTCCTCTGACGCAGGCTAGTTAATACCTCCCAGGATCGTACAGGGATATACTGCTTACTATGCTAGATAATATATTGATCCCGGCGAACATAGACCTTTATCCTTTAAGCCTTGGTTGGTCATTAACCAACACATAGCGCCATTGCTTGGTGTTCTGTCTTTGGGAACTACGTTATCTTGTCAAATTCTATAAATTATATATATATGGCGCAAATTTTTCAGTGAATTCAATTACAGAAAGATACGCACAGGTTTCAGACACTGATTTTTTGTTTTGTATCATTTTGTATTTGGTAAATTTGATCAGAGACAAGTCTCCAACAATATCAACTTCTACACAATAAAATATCCACGAGAAAGCCACTTATTTTACGATATCAACTTGTACACACTAAAATATTCACGAGAAAGTCCGTTATTTAACGATATCAGCTTTTCTACACAGAATAATGGAGCCATGTTTTATCTCGAATAATAAAGTTTTGTTTTATCTCGAATAATAAACCCATGTTTTGATCTCGAATAATGAAGTCATAATTATCTCGAATAATAAACCCATGTTTTAACTCGAATAATGAAGCCATATTTTATCTAGAATGATGAAGCCATATTTTATCCGTGACCATTGTCAAGTACTTGTTGTTCTTCTTAAACATTTTTATATTAAAACTTATGAAATTTATCGAATTTTGTAGTTACTGAGCTTCCCTGTCTGGTTTTTGACTCTAATTTCAATCAATCTGGATTTTTCAAGGTTGCAATGATTTAGACTCAAAGCATCAATGACGAAACAGCTGTATGACAGTTTAAATCGTATTTGGCTCTACTGTATCTTTATTAAAAAATTGTATTGACAAGAATTAATATGCATGTTTGTATTTTCAATAATTCTGGGCATGTTGAATACCTGTCTTATGTAAACGTAATGTTCTGTCATATCACTTTTTTCTACCGGTCTATAATTTTATCTTATATCTAGACCTGGGTCCGTATTCATGAAATCATTCTCATGCTCAAGCATAGATATTGTGCTTGAGCAAACTTTTTTTTATAATTCACCTCAATCAAACAAAATAATACAAATGTCAAATATAAACATTGAATGTAGCTTTGAAGTCCTTTCAAAATTGGTTTTAAATGTTTGGCAAAATTAGCCGTATTTATCAATTTTTAACTTTAACAAGAAATGCGGCTTGAACACAAAATTCATGCTTGAGCGTGAGAACGGTTTCATGAATACAGGCCCTGGTGTACACTTATCTTTTGTAAAACTTATGTTCTATGATATAAAATTTTTTCAACAGATTTTATTTTTTGCACCTGCTTATTTCAATACATCTTATTATACTGTGACATAAGACATCTAAAATACCTCAATGCTATTTATATGCCGGGTCATGCAGATATGAACTCTTGGCCAAATCTCTGAGTTCTAACTATGTATGGGACTTTAATAACGTCAATAGATATTCCAGTAATCTGCCAATATGAGAATCGTACTCTCGGTGTATCATCTGAAAATGTACACAAATAAAGACACCTACGTATTCAGATCCAATCTAATCGAAGACTTCATGTGATCGATAGGTGTCCAACCACTATCTAAGTCACTGACACAGGACTCAGTACGGCAAAGATCAGGAACACAACTTTATACGGCGTGTGAAACCGGCGGTCGTCTTCTATCGGTCCAGACTCGCCAGAGTTCACAAGCGTCCTGTACAAATGGCGACACAAACAACCAACAAACTACCCACAGCAAGCGTGCCACCTCAGAAAGTCGAGTTGAACATTAAGGACAACAAAAAGACAGCCAACGTTAAAGTGAAATCCACAGTTATCAATGTACAGGAAAATACGTGGACTCAGGGACCAGAGAACCCGGCGCCAAATGATTCCGGCAAAGGAAAAATGGTTTTAACCGTTGTAATTATCGTCCTTAAGTTTTGTGTGCTCGGCCTTCTCATTGCAGCTGTTGGTCTTGAAGTCCGGAGTTTGTTCTACTCTTACTGGGGATATGATGATTACTTGTACGGGGGATACGAAGGACGGATATACCGCAGTCTCTGGGGATACTATGAAGTCGGGGAGGAGTACCTGTTCAGCAAGCATAAAGAAGGAAGTCAGCATCATTTACTTATCTTTAAAATATATCATAATACATTTATAGACTTTTAATGAGGTCGGAACATAGTTTTCTTAACCTAGAAATGTATCGTCTTAGTCTACATCTAAAGCATGCCCATAAGGTATTACTGTTACTTGATTAAATCGACCGAGTCATCGTTAACTTACGTTAAATTATACATAATATACAAATTATAGATATATTTGTTTGTAGTTTAAACATGTGTCGTCTATATAATATATTCATATTGAAAGCAAGAATGGTTAGTCAACTGCAACACTTCACGTCGGCAGTAAGATTAACGTCATGCATGACGTCATTTTGACGTCATAGACGTGAAGACATTGGCGTGCATGTTTTAGAGTTTGTCAACAATTACGGGAGGTCGTGGAGGTTTTAGATTAACAAATAAAAATGTCCTGCTTGTCATTAAGCAAAAACTGATAACAAATAGCCTAACGGGTTAAGTTCAAAGTTCAATTCACATCAGAACGGTCAGAGCAATGTTTTTTGGGTTTTTTTATTCATAATAAGTAACATTGTCATATATATCTTTCATGAAAGCATTTATATGACGATGTGTATGATAATTACACGATTATTGTCGAAAACCTCATACGCTATAAAATTATGCCTGCATTCAATAGTAATTTTTTTTCAAATATTTTTTACCTAAAAAAATATTTAAAAGCTGAGTGACGAGTAGTCGTATGTACAGGTGACCCTGGATAGAACTAGGAACATCGTCAAATATAGTTTCTATGTTGTGGTTGTATAAAACAATAACATATGACTGGAGATAATAGCATAATTAACAATGGTTTACAACAAGATATCTGTCGAAAAACTCATCAAAATAACACATACAATATTCCGTAATTATGCCTTTTGTTACACTCATATTGACAAAAGTGCACAGAAATCCTTTATAGATGTAAACAAGAGATTTCTGCTTTAGAACCATTTGAAATATATTCAAATAAGTTTACTTCTGTCTGTTGGGTTTCTGATCTGTTACAAAAGTTCTGGAAGAATAACGTCACGTTTTGATAGTTAGAAAACTCTTTATATTTAATGTCGCGTATCCGAATGTAACAGAATAACTGAGTACAATTTCTGTATCAAAAGCTCTCCTTTGTACCAGTGCACTCGTTTATATGAAACAATCATTTTTATACTATCAAACTTTTATGTATAAGATTTTTTTTATTTATTTAGCAATATTCCGCTAAAGCCTATATGTATTTTCAATTTTTTTTTTTTAATTTTTTTTTTGATACGACATTTAATACAACACTCGTTTGCATAAACCTTATGATGTATATAATTCTGTTTTATTTACATTTCTGGTTCGTATCCTCCATTTGGCCTTAAAAACAAAATTGATGCTAACACTTCGGTATACGTCAAGTCTGGCGCGTAGGAAGCCAGGCCGCGGTACACTTGCGGTAAAAATTTAGCTTGAATCTGATGTTGCATTTGTTTTACTTATAACTGTTCGTTTTTTTAGTATTTATTTTCTTGTTTTTGTTTCAACTAAATTTTGGAACTATTTTCTGTTTACTATCTGCAGTTGACATCCATTCTAGCACAATAACAGCTGTTTTGCTTATCTGTCAGTTGTCAGGTTGTCCATCAGTGCCTAAAACCACCAACGAAGGATGATTTTTTTTTTTTTAATTTAAGAAGTACATTTTTCATTATTTTTGTTGTTTTTTAGTGTGATATTTCGACATGACGAGTCAGTTTTTGTTTTTTTAATTACTTGCTACACATATATACATTAATGAGTCTAATCAATCAATTTGTTAGTATAATTTCCTCCTAATCTGAATAGTATTCTCGGTATTGTGCAATATATATTTATAAACATACATGTTACATATGCAACCGAAATCATAGTGTATTTTTGATAAACGATACCACCAACAGTGCAGATAAAATTACCATTTTGTCAACAGACAATGACAAAAATATCACATCGCCAACAGACAGTGACAAAACAATGCACATCGTCAACAGACAATGATAAAAATATCACATCGTCAACAGACAATGACAAAATATACCACATCGTCAACTGACAATGAGAAAAATATCACATCGTCAACTGACAATGACAAAAATATCACATCGTCAACTGACAATGACAAAAATATCACATCGTCAACTGACAATGACAAAAATATCACATCGTCAACAGACAATGAGAAAAATATCACATCGTCAGCAGACATTCAGAAAAATATCACATCGTCAACAGACAATGACAAAAATATCACATCGTCAACTGACAATGATAAAAATGTCACATCGTCAACAGACAATGACAAAAAATACGACATCGTCAACAGACAATAACAAAACATACCACATCGTCAACAGACATCGACAAAACATATCACATCGTCAACAGACATCGACTAAACATACCACATTGTCAACAATGACAAAACATACCACATTGTCAACAGACATCGACAAAACATACAACATCTTCTTTATCCAACAAGATATCTGTATGTACTAACCCTGATAATCCGTGATGATAGTGGGGTATGTAGATATCTGGAGTAAGTACTAACCCTGAAAGTCAGTGATGATAGTGGGGTATGTAGATATCTGGAGAAAGTACTAACCCTGAAAGTCAGTGATGATAGTGGGGTATGTAGATATCTGGAGTAAGTACTAACCCTGAAAGTCAGTGATGATAGTGGGGTATGTAGATATCTGGAGTAAGTACTAACCCTGAATGTCAGTGATGATAGTGGGGTATTTAGAAGTCTGGAGTATGTATTAACCCTGAAAGTCAGTGATGATAGTGGGGTATTTAGAAGTCTGGAGTATGTATTAACCCTAAGAGACAGGGACCACCTACCTTGGCAGTCAGTGATTCATGTGGGATACAAAAACCTTAAATTCCTGAATGACACTCAAGGAAATTGAATTCGATATCAACAGATTAATCAATTTGCTGATATGATTGTATTCAATGATTTTCTGATTGTATGCAGTTTTGACTCCACAATAAAACAGAATAAAGTGGCATGAGTCATATTTTTCACCTGCGACGTCTTAAGGTGGAACAACCGATCCCAATGTGGACAAATAACTACGCGTGGTGATTAGGGTTGTGCCAGAATACAAAACACAAATGTAAACATAACTTTATTAGATCTAGCTGTGGTCGCAATTTCGTACACTACCGAGGAGTTACACAACCAAGCAATATATTAGTTTATATTAGTTAAACAATCTAAATACATTTCGTCACAGGTTCAGAAAATATATAAAAAAAAACCGTCTTTAGATAGCCGTTGTCTGTCACTGTGTTATACTAACGATTATGAAATTACTTCCACTATCATTAAATTTCAGACTGGCAAGATTGGAAGAAACCCTTCATAAAATTCCAATGCCTCGCCTTGGCTCTGGGTTTAGCGAGTACCCTGATACACGCCATCTTGATAGCATTGACCTTCGTCAATCCCCACAAAGCTGTTAAAATTGCTCTTTTGGTGGCAGTTACACTTCTGTCTATCGGGAGCGGTGAGTATTTCTGGTCATGATATTCAAAAGTAAAAGTTTTGTCAGAAATGATAATATAAATCATCACCTCTGTGCGATGTAGAAAATAGATAAATCGGTACAGCACATTAATATTCTACTGTAATTCACAGTGAGTTGTGTCACAATTACAATATACTTATTATCAATTTATTGTGTTTTAACTTCTCTCTTTCTTTTATACTCTTTATTTATAATTTAATTTTTTTTCTTCTTTTCTCTCTCTCTTTTCTCTTTTCTCTAAATACTTCTTATCTCTGTATGAAAACTAATAATTTCAACTAAGATAATTGCCCCTCCCCCATCTTTGCACCTTATATATGTCATTCCAATCTGAAGTCCATACGCCCACGAGGCAGAGGTTTCACACGTACTTTGTATGTCGAGAATACTTTGTATATAATATGTAGATCATGCATCTCCATGCAAGCGAAACAGGTGATGCACTGTCCATATACCTAAACTCGAAACTTAGGTAGAGGTGTCGTCTTCACTATTTAGGCAGTCGAGTCCCCTATTCCCGAACTAACAAGATAGATGAATTAAGACTTACCATTTATCTAAAAAAAATAAATAAAACTTTCTGAAGATATCTAATAAGTTCTAACAAACACAGTTAATTACCATTTTATACTCGCTTTCTACGTTCTAAAGATAAACTCATCTCAATATTTCACATGATAGATTGCCATGCACAGCAGAAAATGAAATACGCATGCATATTGCAGCCATGTTGAAATGCACAACGTCAAACGACTAACGAAGGGAGACAACTGTTTATTTCTAAGTCTGTTTAAAACGAAGTAGATTTATTATCATATCTTGATACTTAGGATGAAATATGTACCGACTAAAGAGGTATGGCGCTTTACTTGACGGCGCACCTAGTTCATTTCATCGCTTTGGTCAGTCTACAAATACTTAAATGACAACAGGTAAGCGTAAGTTCGGAGTCACTGTATCTAAATATAGAACATGCACATCCGCAAAGTGACGTGTTAAAGCTGAAAAATGTGCCAGAAAGGCAAAGCAAAAGATAAATTCAATGACCAGATTACTCCTTCATATGTGACCTTTTATAATACTGAATTACCATGTCCCCAACACTATCAAGTGAGACTGTACACTCGTATGTCGCTAGCACTGCCATGTACCTCAATGCTGACATTCATTATAACCAAATATGTTTTGGTCAGTAATTACCGCAGTACATATGAATGTGAACAATCGTCACTAGAATTAGTTAATCAAAAATGTGTACTAAAAAGATAATAACATATATATATCAGAAACTCGAACGTACGACTCCATGAAAATTGGGCTATCGTAAGATTACCAGATTTTAACTCATCGAAATTTAATTGGCAAATCAAATATTGAAAGTATAAGCACTTATTTTGTGTCTCATTTTTCAATGTTTTGGTATCAGTGCACACTTTTCGAGGATTTTTATTGAAACAATGTTTATACATCCGATCACACAGGATTAAGTTCATTTCTATAAAAGTTGGTACAAGTGTGCATTGTGTGTCAAACGTGCATTTCAAGTCGGGAAGTCCTAATATTTTAGTGCATATTGCTTCAGGTAGCAACTTAGACGATCTGAAAAAAAATTAACACGTGACACATATCCAAGATAATTCGATCGCTATTACGATATAGATAATTTTGATTACCTATCTTAATTCATCGGAATGAAAAAATCATTTTCCATTTTATTGTTGGTTACATTTAGGTCGAATCTGGCCGTAACACTCATTACCTTACTCTAATACTTCGATTGTTTCTTTCCCAATGGTTATTTATCATTTCTTACGATTTCATTCTTCCGTTTCTAAGGCAACATATATCAAAACTTGCATGAACAGCCATTAAATATTGTATTGGGTGGTCGCATGGAGCAGTGGTAACGCACTCGCCTTTCACCTAGCCGACCGGGGTTCGATTCCCGGAACGGACGTGAAAAGGTAAGGGGTCACCTGTCCGACCACGTGGGTTTTCCCCGGGTACTCCGGTTTCCTCCCACAATAAGACCCCTCGCGCGCTTACATCCGGGCCAACAAGAGTGATTAGTATAAATTGACATTACTTGTTTCGCAATTGTTGTAAAATAAATAAAGTTTATATATATATATAAATATTGTATCAAATGGTTGTTGTATTAATTACCTGAGTGTGATATCAAATATCTGTGTGTTGTATCCCCCTACATGAGTGTTATATCAAATATCTGTGTGTTGTACCTCCCTACCTGAGTGTTATATCAAATATCTGTTTGTTGTATCCCCCTACCTGAGTGTTATATCAAATATCTGTTTGTTGTATCCCCCTACCTGAGTGTTATATCAAATATCTGTGTGTTGTATCCCCCTAAATGAGTGTTGTATCAAATATCTGTGTGTTGTATCCCCTACCTGAGTGTTATATCAAATATATGTGTGTTGTATCCCCCTACCTGAGTGTTATATCAAATACCTGATTCTTGAGTCACATATCTGTTTTATGATAATATTACTAAGGAAATTTGTGTGAAATTGACTTGTTCATATCTACTAAATAAAAAAACCGGAAGATTTTTTATGGATAAATTACAGCAGCAGTTTTTGTATTTAAAAGTTCTCCATTATTTCTTGACTCCCTTTTATTAGGCGGTTTAGTGGCGAAAACAGTGAGGGATTTTCACAAGACGAGGCCATTCCTTGGATTTGGCACCAATGCTGTATTACCTGGAGTAGAATTACAAACTTTTACTCAGGAAGGATACACCCAGGCTTTAGCCAGTGGCGCCACCTACTTGTCAGCAGCATTCCTGTCAATTGTTCTGATTGTATTAACAGCTGTCAGGCACGCAAAGGAACCGACTAGCGTCACACCAATGAAAACATCATCGGAAGATTAAATGACGCTACGTCACTGAATTATGTGCACTGCGTCAGCACATAAACTTCTCATCAAACACATGCTCCCAGGCCACAACCATACTTTGATGTGCGAGAATTTCGGATCATTTAATAGATTATCTGTAACGGATATGTACTTTTTTTTACATAAAAATGATATAACATATTGATTTTATTGATAAAATTTTTATCTATATCATTTTCATATTTTTTTGCATTTTCTTAACGTTCAGAAGGGTATTGATATTCGAATGAAAATATTTTACCAAAATGTAGATAATGAGGTACATTCTAGTTCATTGTAGATTCCGTTTAAGTATATTAACAAAATAGTAAAATGGTAAATGCCAGATTTTCGCAATATTTCATGATATCTTAATTTTCGTTTTTCTTTTTGCTAGATGATAAAGGAGATTTATTGTGGTCGGAGGTCATGTAATATATAACTCGTCTCGTCAACCGCTTTACAGTCATGGAAGTTCTGCTACACCTATGTACTGACATTCACTGTTACTAATGAATAATGTATCACATAGATATCTGATATCGAGAAGTCAAAATCTTGGCTTTCTTCTCCGATGAGTGCTTCGCAAACACAAATACATTTGTAGAGCCTCAATAATCTTACCCCGATATTTGAGATTTCTATGAAAGTTCTCTGATTTTGTGGAAAATGTGATATGATTTTCTGTCTTACTTTCTGTACTTTTTTCTTACGTAATCATGGAATTTCATTGCAAATAAAGAATAAAACGAAACGAAACATTTTTATTACCAATTGACAGAGTGGTGTACGTATCGATGAGACGCTTATTTCAACAACTCGGAGGGACGAGTGTCCGATTCTCACTCGCCAATCTAGAATGGTTAATTACCACATTATATACAACATTCAAGATTCGGTAGGCTGTAATTTGGTTTGCTTATGGAAACGTTCGTCAGAACATGACTCCTTGTAGGATGTTGCCATATCCTGATACGGCGAGTAACGGAGCGGGAATTATGATCTGCAATTAATTTAGATTGGAATTTACCGACATAAATACATGCATTGTGTACTTAGTGACTTCCGGTTGAAATCCCGATATTTACCGATGTTTCCGTCCTCGGCAATCTTCGGTTTACGTCACGATCATAAACGATGAATAGAAAATTTAAAAAACTTTATTTTCCCTCCCTTGATAAACATTTACAGCTATTTACAAAGAAATAGAATATTTGAGATAATGTGTTATGTTTAACAGTAATAGTTGATTAGAAAACGGACTGGCAGTTGTCACTTTAAATCGCCCCACCTACGGGTTAGTGTAAAGTTGTATCACCAGGGACGTATATATTAACGTGATATATACGTCCCTGGTATCACTAATAACATTACTGTTGGAGGCAGTTTTTCTTATACTACGATCAATTTGGCCTAAGACTTCATGTCCTGGTTCAGATACAATATTTCAAATAAAATTAACTTTTATCGACATCTTTAAAGATTATAAGATTCTAAAAGAATGTGAAGCATGTGTGTTTAAAAGTGTCACTATTCACGTGAATTTTCAACGGCAGTGACTTCCCGCAGAAAAGTGTAGGGGAGACAACTCCCACGTAACACAGAGGATCCAGAATCACACATGGAAAATAATTTTAGTTTAAATAATATTTTATTCATTAATCAACAATATAACATATATATTTATAATGTAAGGAAAGAATAAGTTTCAATACAACTTTTATTCATTCAAAAGATTCAGGAATTTATTTATTCTATCAAATACTGCATTCGAGTTTGCACTTGAAAAACTAAGTGGCATCAGTTTACGGTAAACCTCGAGGACTAAAAAGTCCACTGGTTGAGTCTACGGCAATCGTCCTAGTCTCAAAGTGTTATTGCTGTCTGCTAAGAGGATTGTATGACACATACAAAAATTAATATTGTCATTCAATACAAATTTAGATCCAGACACAGTAAGGTTAAATAAGGAATTAAACCGCATTATATAAATGTAGCGTTTCGTCCTTCTAGGATTCTTTGAATCGTCAGTGATGCTATGGGCTTTGGTAGTTGAAACCGAGGAGGCGAAGCGGAAAATAAAACTTGATCGAAAAAACGACAAAATCTAGATGGGGAAATGATTTTTTTTTTAATCCGATCTGTTTCTCTAAAATGGGAAACGAAAAATAAAAAAAAATAAAAAAATCCTACCTGATGTTTTAAAGGAACGTCAAGTACATCTGCATGTACAATGGTAAATCTGGCAGGAAAACCCAGACTGTATTGTTCATGGTGTTCCAGCCAAATTTTGGGTTTCGCTCCTTCACTCCACTGACTTCAGATTGTCTTATTAAGTTCTCACCACTAGAGCACGCGCACGTGTGTAAAGTCATCTTACCGGAACCAGTATTGTTAATTTGTGATGTACATATAAAAATGGATACAAACTGTTTGTGGATATCTTTAATGCAATGCCCCTGATGGAACATTTTGGAAAACCGGTACTGTAGCAAGTTGATCTCGATCTTTTTTTCACGTGTAATACTTATAATGTAGCTAAATGTGTGTTTTTCTTTTTTTCATAAAGTAAACCGAAAAAGTGTTTTCCCATTTTTGATTCCCGTAAATTTGTTTATATGATAATGCAGATACCCACATGTCCAAGAAATTATAAATAGATTTCATTTCGGTAATTAATTGCGGTTTGCGTTGCTTTTATTTTTTAGAAAAATGACGCGAAAAATATTCAGGAGCGAGGAAGCGAAAATATGATGCACGGAAGCGAGGAAGCGACAGCGAAAATGACCTAGTTTCTTCGCCATTGTATTTTTCCGTTTCTTCGCTCCTTTGTGTTTAGACCGAGGAAGAGAAGGACCAGAATTTGGAATTTCAATTGTACGGAACACCATTCCTGAAATAACTGGATTTTTTTATATTTTAATACAGCTTTTATCAGTTCCAATTTATTTGTATTATGATGAATACGTTAAATGTATCAGAGACGAAATAATTATTTTACTTCAAATATCATTTTGTCAATATTGCTCCAACAAAAAAAAATCAGAGGGCCTGGTTGTGACAGTCTCATTTGTGCAGTTAAATCTGTTTTGTTACTACTCGTTCAAATTCAAAGGAAAAGAAAATCACCACGTTTAATGGACATCACTACAATTACAGAACCGTTACTAGAGTTATTAGAGTTACTCCCCTTACACTAGTAATTACTTCTCTTTATTTTTCGGGGGCAAAAAAACGAACTCGCTATATCTTGACACTTTCGTGTATCCGTCAAGCAATGGTCTTTTCATGAATAATATTCACAAAAAAAGAAGGAAAATAATTTTATTTATGTTACGGACTGGTCCTCAGAAATATAAAGCAACTTTGACATAAAAAGTTACGGATGGGTTCTTAAAAACAGATTCATTTCGGTTATTGATTGGCACAGTTAATAAATGTAATGGGGTGAAGAGTGAACTAGAAATACCTTAATTTAAAAAAAATTATCTTTCCTTTGTGATTTTTCCATTTCTGGACAGCATTATTCCTACATCCCAAACCTCTTCATGTGTTCAAGTCGTAGTTGATCGATATTCAAGGGCCTGTTCATATTATCACGATTTTCATGCATTTGTATGCTTTGTATTTTCTATTGTTCATATTCTGCCCTACTTTTATTGAATCAGAGTTTGGATTATGATTTTGTTGACATGGTGGAATTTTCTTGTTGTTTTTTCAGTACACTTATTTTGGGCTTCAAATCGTTTGTTCGGGATGTACAGTTAAACTTCGAGTGCACCGTTTAAATTTTCAGGTCCAAGTCATAACTAGAAATATTTGTACAAAAAAATAATAAATGAAATATTGGAAAATCCGAAGTTGGATATCGGCCTTGACCGTAAAAATCACATTTGAAAAGTACAAATGTACCGCTTTTCCCGAAGTTCCAAAGTTTCCACTTTAGCTGAAAGATGATGAATCAACTGTGAAAGTAATACTCGCAGAGCAAATCATAGGGCCACATATAAACTGGTTTCCCTTCCAACCGCATGGTTTCATACATGCCTTCACGTTTTCTTGTCTCAACGTGCATTTGTGTTCCCGCCCACAAACTAGACAAATCATTTCAATATATATAGTCCTAGAAAGCGAAATTATATCATTTGTCCGAGTCATATGCGTAAAACATATCATAATTGCAAGATAGAATTATGAAATTGGCAAGTGATTCTGGAAAGTTTTGACTCCGATTCATCAAAGAAACGGGGCTTCAGACGTATATACATTAAACAACCAGCAAGTTCTTATTTTCCTTCAGGTTTTGTACTCTACTCTCAAAGCAACGACACTTAATTTCCGAATACTCTTCCACATTTTATGTCATTACGCAGGGAAGTTTTGACACCCTGTGTCTAATTGTCGAGGAATTCTTCTGTCGCAGGGTGCTAAGATAACACTGTGAAACTCATCTATCAACTGTAAAAAGTACAACATTGTACGCAATTCCTAGACATTGGTAAAAGGACTCACATTTCGCGATATGGTGGAACTAACCTGGAACTGGTATTCTGGCTGGCTTTGTAGGAGTTTATAAGGCTCTTGTGTTTTAGCACAATTTATTGAAGATGTCCGCTGCTCTTGTCTTGTCAATCCAACGCAATGATTTTGTGTAGAAAGAAGCTTTGTTTATTTACCTATAGCGTGTAATATTATCACATGTACATGTAAATATATGTTAATTGATTACATCACATGACGTTTGAATCAATTGCAGATACTTTTGAAAATAATATTATGTTTGCCTTCCATTAAAATTGAGTGGTTTCCGTTAATAACCATATTTTTTGTGCCTTAAAATTTAACAAAATACAAACTCGCCTAGCAAATCTTGATGATAACATTGTCATAGTTTGAAGATAAAAAATCCCGACCAAACAATTTAAAACCATAGAAGGTGTACTGAACATAGTCATTTATTGCTCCAATTCATGACCGAAATGGATCTGTCCGTATTTTATTTCTGTCAAAGTTGCTATATATTTCTGAGGACCAGTCCGTATCGCAAAGAAGGTTTTTTTTTCGTTTTTGTGGTTTTAATAGGGCGATTAGCATAAATATCGCTTAAAAGCAGATGTTATTTGAGTGTCTCCCTGACAATGCAAATAAACACCTTCAGCTGCTTAAATATTCCGATATGAGAGAAATATCACACCAAGTCCCACCTCGATGCCGAATTCAACAGTTCTCCCGACTTTGCGAAGTGCTCACAATTATGACCATAACAGCACCGTGCAAACAGTGTATCGCAAATTTCAAGTATATCTGAGTTTCGTGTGGTACCCGTCAGATTATATCCAAAAATCAGTGAAATTTTAGCTTAAAGTGAGCACCTACAAACTGTGGCCGTCTGCATCTGCCATCTTGAAAAGACCATTCCTTAACGGCTACACGACTGTGCTTAAAGCATACGCAAAATATATATGCTATGTCTATCGAAAACAGTTAAGTTGTCATATAAAACGAAGGACGCTTGAATTAACAGTTTCCCAATCTGTCTTCAGTACTTGATTAGCGCTGTGAAACAGAAATATATGATATATGATTTAGAAATATTTATTTGCAAAATCCCATTCTTATTTCCATCGCCATGTTACCCATTTTCCTCCATTGTCAACTCTTCATTACGTTTCTGTCCGAGGCCTGTATACTAAAGAAGGCTGAACATGTCAAAATTGTTTATTTATTTATTAACTAATTTATATATATATATATTATTTGTTTATCACGCTATCACGATCTTGTATTCGAGATAAGTAAATACTTCTACCCTCGTTATATCTATAATGATAACCAAGAGTTGCTTAGTAACAAATGTGATTGTCTCGTTATACCGAGCATCACAAACTTCAAAATGACACTGTCAGATTCCGTAGTATTCATCCCCCCTTCGTTCGTTTTCCAGACTTATACCCCCTTGTAACTTTCTCCTTTATTCTTTCTCTCTATCATTACATTCATAATAAGTTACTCCCCTTTGTTCCACTGTTTATTCTTTCTTTCTTTCCTCTACCCTTATCTTCTCGTTTTTATCATGTCATCCCTTTCCCATGAGCACGTGCTGATATATTTCATAACAGTTAGGTAGACGTTATACATATACATCAGTTCTAAAACTTCGCTAGATATTGTTCGGCATAAAGGACAAAAAAAGAACAAAGAGAATATTATATATCTATTATCAATAACGGACGTACATCGTAAAGCCTTCTCAGGGACGGAACGAGACGAGCTCCACTCCACACACACTACAAAGAGAATGGAGATTACACATTAATATAGCAAGGATTAATCCTCCGAATGCATCAATATGTCTGTAACAATACTCCTATTCTCAGCTGAGAACATCTCTCAAAAACTGTCAGTTAGGATACTTAACGGTGCGAATATATCACCAGTAGTGTATCATATACCACGTTCTGAGAGGCACTATTTACATAATATTTAGAGAGGGAACATATAACACCATGTACTGGGAGGGACAGAGTAACACCATGTACTGGGAGGGACCATGTAACACCATGTACTGGGAGGGACCATGTTATACCATGTACTGGGAGGGACCATGTTATACCATGTACTGGGAGGGACCATGTCATACCATGTACGGGGAGGGACCATGTTACGCCATGTACTGAGAGAGAGACCATGTAACACCATGTACTGAGAGAAACCATGTAACACCATGTACTGAGAGAAACCATGTAACACCATGTACTGGGGGGGACCATGTAACACCATGTACTGAGAGAAACCATGTTATACCATGTACTGGGAGGGATCATGTATTACCATGTACTGGGAGAGACCATGTTACACCATGTACTGAGAGGGACAATGTACTGGGAGGGACAATGTTATACCATGTACTGGGAGGGACCATGTTATACCATGTACTGGGAGGGACAATGTAACACCATGTACTGGTAGGGACCATGTAACATCATGTACTGGGAGGGACCATATAACACCATGTACTGGGAGGGACCATGTAAAACCGTGTACTGAGAGAGACCATGTAACACCATGTACTGGGAGGGACCATGTAACACCATGTACTGGGAGGGACCATGTACTGGGAGGGATCATGTATTACCATGTACTGGGAGAGACCATGTTACACCATGTACTGAGAGGGACAATGTACTGGGAGGGACAATGTTATACCATGTACTGGGAGGGACCATGTTATACCATGTACTGGGAGGGACAATGTAACACCATGTACTGGTAGGGACCATGTAACATCATGTACTGAGAGGGACCATATTACACCATGTACTGAGAGGGACAATGCACTGGGAGGGACCGTGTAATAGCAAATATGGGGAGGGGCCATGTAATACATGTACTGAGAGAGACCATGTTATACCATGTACTGGGGGGTAACATGTTATACCTTGTACTGGGAGGGACCATGTAACACCATGTACTGGGAGGGACCATGTAACACCATGTACTGAGAGGGACCATGTTATACCATGTACTGGGAGGGACCATGTACCACCATGTCCTGAAAGAGACCATGTAACACCATGTACTTGGAGGGACCATGTAATACCATTTACTGGGAGGGACCATGTAACACCATGTACTGGGAGGGACCATGTAACACCGTGTACTGAGAGATACCATGTAGCACCATGTACTTGGAGGGACCATGTAACACCATGTACTGGGAGGGACCATGTTATACCATGTACTTGGAGGGGTCATGTAACATCGGTTACGGGGAGGGACCATGTTATACCATGTACTGAGAGGGACCATGTAACACCATGTACTGAGAGGGGTCATGTAACATCGGTTACGGGGAGGGACCATGTTATACCATGTACTGAGAGGGACCATGTAACACCATGTACTGAGAGGGACCATGTAACACCATGTACTGAGAGGGACCATGTAACACCAAGTTCTGGGATAGTACGAGTGACACCATGTACTGAGAGGGACCATGTAACACCATGTACTGAGAGGGACCATGTAACACCAAGTTCTGAGATAGTACGAGTGACACCATGCTTTGTTAGGAACAATGTAACACTAAGTATTTATAGAGAACGAAATCACTTATGTGTTAACTATACACGTGAGCCAAGCCGAATAGTGACAGATATCGTATGGATACGAAACCTCGGCAACGGCCCGGGACAAAACCACTACGCACCTGCCGTAGAGTGCTCGTACAGACGCGCGTGCTCTGGAGGATAGACACAGCAGTGGGAGACGGTGTTCTAGTGTGTATATCCTCTATAGTAAGGCCAGGGTTACTACAGACACATTAATACTACTGCATCTACGACATCAAGTACCCACAGTACTTAATTGTATCCCATTGTACTACGGTCGTGTTCGAGTCGGTTCTGAGTAGGGGTGCGTTCGTTTCACAATTACTATAGGAACTAGCGAATGTTTTATTGAACTGGTTGATGTCACGACAAGGACCTACATCAAGGTGTTCCTCAATTGATTTAAGTTATAGCTCGCTGATGTTAAAGAACTCCTGAAATTCAACCAAAAATCAACAATTCTTGTGTTTAAATAAATCGGAAAGTTTAATTAAACTGTTCATTCAGGAGACATACACTACGGGTGCTTAGGGAATTTACCGTCCACAAAACAATTGTAAAAGACGTGTATTTATTTGACTTCCTCTTTACCATCGGATTAATTCATTCAAAATGGTGTCCTGGGTGACATTCGGAAGTATGATTGGAGTTCTGCTGACGTTTCTCGGGTATGTACCTTATTGCATGTTATAACAGAATTACACTAACCCAATTTTTTCAAAAAAAACTAGGAAAAAGGTATAATTTCATGGGTTAAGGACACGTTCCGGATTATATCTACCGGATTGATTTAATGTTAATTTCTAATCTTAAGCAGAAACGATAATTTCAATTCAGAAATCATAAAAAACTGTTTATATCATGTGATAATAAGAGAAAATTATCTGTATAGAGCCAAAAAAATTTTTTTCGGATTACTGGAAGCCGGGGAAAATATCGTATGACGTTACATGGTGCCAATCCGATCTCAATGCAACATTACATACACAACTGAATGATAGAAATATTGCAGTTTTTTATTGAAACTCCAACATGCTTCGCTGAATTTCACATTGATAATATAATTCTCGTTTAATATCATTATTATCTCCTAATTTGAGATATATCTCCAGTTTCCTGCCGTTTGACACCAACAAGTGTGGGAATATATAACGCTGATTTTAATCACCAAGCAGTACTCAGACGAAGTGTCCTGAATCCGTGTCACTTCCAGGAGATAGGAATAATACATTACCCCCATATTACTTATAGACCACACCGGTGTTCGGTTAATGTCACGTCTTATCCGATAGGTGGTAGATGACATTAAAACCACCGTGCTGTACCCTAAACATCTGTGTGTGAGGATGTACCCTACCATAGTCAATGATTCACGAGGGCATGAGACTCACCTATACACAGAACATAGCTGTCGCCGCTGTGTGTTGAAAAGGTTATGTACTTCACTCCGAAGGGTTGTTGAAAATTTCTGTCTCGACCTCTGTAACTTGACATGTACATCTTCCGGGGAAACCTTTATTGTGATATGGTGATAAAATATGTAATCAATGTACCTGTTTTTCTATAAGATATATAAATCACAATGTACGAAATCATGGTGCTGGCTCATCAGGCAGTTTTACACATTCCGTATCGATAGAGCATGTGATCTTTATATGTATTTATGACAATGGCTTTAAAACAAAATTGATCAAATTCTTTTTCGACAATCCAAACTGAAAATTTAAAAATCCTTAAGAATTAAAAAAGGTAAGTTATAGAACTTTGTTTTTGTGCTGTATTGACGGACTTTTTTGACATCAATCAAAATTCTGAATATTTCACCACAAAGTTATCCTTTATGATACGATAAATTATTCACCATCTGAAAAACAACGGCCATCAATCAATGTAATACAGATATCGTTAGAGTTAACTATAAACCGAACAGAATGTGCTTATAACACAACAAACAGAACAGTGTCTCGTTATAGTTTATAATACAACAAACAGAACAGTGTCTCGTTATAGTTTATAACACAACAAACAGAACATTGTCTCGTTATATTTTATAACACAACAAACAGAACAGTGTCTCGTTATAGTTTATAACACAACAAACAGAATAGGGTCTTGTTATAGTTTATAACACAACAAACAGAACAGTGTCTCGTTATATTTTATAACACAACAAACAGAACACTGTCTCGTTATAGTTTATAACACAACAAACAGAACAGTGTCTCGATATAGTTTATAACACAGCAAACAGAACAGTGTCTCGTTATAGTTTATAACACAACAAACAGAACAGTGTCTCGTTATAGTTTATAACACAACAAACAGAATAGGGTCTTGTTATAGTTTATAACACAACAAACAGAACAGTGTCTCGTTATTGTTTATAACACAACACACAGAACAGTGTCTCCTTATAGTTTATAACACAACAAACAGAACAGTGTCTCGTTATATTTTATAACACAACAAACAGAACACTGTCTCGTTATAGTTTATAACACAACAAACAGAACAGTGTCTCGATATAGTTTATAACACAGCAAACAGAACAGTGTCTCGTTATAGTTTATAACACAACAAACAGAACAGTGTCTCGTTATAGTTTATAACACAACAAACAGAACAGTGTCTCGTTATAGTTTATAACACAATAAACAGAACAGTGTCTCGTTATATTTTATAACACAACAAACAGAACAGGGTCTCGTTATAGTTTATAACACAACAAACAGAACAGTGTCTCGTTATATTTTATAACACAACAAACAGAACACTGTCTCGTTATAGTTTATAACACAACAAACAGAACAGTGTCTCGTTATATTTTATAACACAACAAACAGAACAGGGTCTCGTTATAGTTTATAACACAACAAACAGAACAGTGTCTCGTTATATTTTATAACACAACAAACAGAACACTGTCTCGTTATAGTTTATAACACAACAAACAGAACAGTGTCTCGTTATATTTTATAACATAACAAACAGAACAGGGTCTCGTTATAGTTTATAACACAAAAAAATGAATAGTGTCTCGCTGGAGTTTATATTACGATTTTTGCACATGTGGTTTTATGTTCAGGCCTAGTTGCATATGTTTCTGTGTAACATGTACTGATGAAATACTCTGACATTCGACATTTAAAAATTGAAATTCGAATCTGTCACTTCACATGGTTATCATCAAGGTCGTGTCCTCCCTGAAGGCACACTCTACAGAGTACTTATGATGGAATTTAACAAATAAATGACTAAGAAAAAAACATTTACACAGAGTCCTTGTACTATCTCAGGGTCCGGTACAACGCAGGTACGGTAGCTATAGTGTTTAAAAGACACATATTCCGGTACAACGGAGGCACGGTAGTTATAGTGTATAAAAGACACATGGACCGGTACAACGGAGGCACGGTAGATATAGTGTATAAAAGACACATGGACCGGTACAACGGAGGCACTGTAGTTATAGTGTATAAAAGACACATGGACCGGTACAACGGAGGCACTGTAGATATAGTGTATAAAAGACACGGGGACCGGTACAACGGAGGCACGGTAGTTATAGTGTATAAAAGACACATGGACCGGTACAATGGAGGCACGGTAGTTATAGTGTTTAATAGACACATGGACCGGTACAACGGACGCACTGTAGTTATAGTGTATAAAAGACATATGGACCGGTACAATGGAGGCACGGTAGTTATAGTGTATAAAAGACACATGGACCGGTACAACGGAGGCACTGTAGTTATAGTGTATAAAAGACATATGGACCGGTACAATGGAGGCACGGTAGTTATAGTGTATAAAAGACATATGGACCGGTACAATGGAGGCACGGTAGTTATAGTGTATAAAAGACACAGGGACCGGTACAACGGAGGCACTGTAGATATAGTGTATAAAAGACACAGGGACCGGTACAATGGAGGCACTGTAGATATAGTGTATAAAAGACACATGGACCGGTACAATGGAGGCACGGTAGTTATAGTGTATAAAAGACACATGGACCAGTACAATGGAGGCACTGTAGTTATAGTGTATAAAAGACACATGGACCGGTACAATGGAGGCACGGTAGTTATAGTGTATAAAAGACACATGGACCGATACAATGGAGGCACTGTAGTTATAGTGTATAAAAGACACATGGACCGGTACAATGGAGGCACGGTAGTTATAGTGTATAAAAGACACATGGACCGGTACAATGGAGGCACTGTAGTTATAGTGTATAAAAGACACATGGACCGGTACAACGGAGGCACTGTAGTTATAGTGTATAAAAGACACATGGACCGGTACAACGGAGGCACGGTAGTTATAGTGTATAAAAGACACATGGACCGGTACAATGGAGGGGCACGGTAGTTATAGTGTATAAAAGACACATGGACCGGTACAACGGAGGCAATGTAGATATAGTGTATAAAAGACACAGGGACCGGTATAACGAAGGCAAAGGTAGTGATTAGGAGGCACGGGCGCACTACAACGATTTACAGTGTAAGAAGCACAGGGGCGTGAAATTTCATTGAACAACTCCTTATTTGGTATGGCTTGTACGTTGATACATGTTCATTGTAAGGAAGATCTGGCGTCCCTAGTTACCCCATGAACATCCCATGAAACACGTGATAATTTCAACCTAAAACACAAGCTAATGTTCCTATAATCCACGTGATCACATACCAAAAACACATGAATATGACTCTCTGTAAAAGACGAGATCTTGTAACGCTAATCAACGTCACTCATATATGTATACACGTGATAATATCACTGTAAAAACACGTGAGAATACCACAGAAATACACGTGATATTATCACTGATATACACGTGATAATATCACCGATTTACACGTGATAATATACCCCAAATACACGTGATCATATACCCGAAATACACGTGATAATACCACTGATATACACGTGATCATATACCCGAAATACACGTGACAATATCACCGATATACACGCGATGATATCACTGATATACACGTGATAATATCACCGATTTACACGTGATAATATACCCCAAATACACGTGACAATATACCCCAAATATAATATCATAAACACACGTGTTTCCATCCAGGAAATACATTGCGATAATGACCGCCAAGCACATGTGATACTGTCGCTATAGTTCTCCCTGGTTTATTTTTTACTGTCCGATTTTATCTGTGATATAATCAGTCCTAACAGCTTTTACATGTATCAGATAAAAGTACACCGTTTTTTATCTGGTGTGGATAACAAAATTACTCTCACATGAATAAACGATACCATTTACTTAGTATATCTCAGAAACAACACTGATGATACTTCCGACGTTCACCAGTATGGAGAGAATTTCAGTTGTGTATCAAGGCGATACAATTTTCTTCTGTTTCTTGTTCTTTTGACTCGCCTGTTGCTGATCCTTCTCTCCTCCTCCTGATCATCATCATCATCATCCTCTCCTCCTCTTACTCCTTCTTCTTCTTCATTCTCCTCCTCCTTCCCTCCTCCTCCTCCTCCTCTTCCTCCTTCTCCACCCTCTCCCCATCCTACTCCTTCTCCTCCTCCTCCTCCTCCTCCTCTACTCCTCCTTACATCCTTCTCCTCCTCCTTTCTTCTTCTTCCTCCTCCTCCTCCTCCTCCTCCTCCTCATCAT